CAATTGTATGAAAGAACAACGTTTAGGATAGTCCTGGAAACTCTATAGAAGTTTATAGAGCTGTGCTTAGAAAAATCAGCTCTACGGATTCAAACTATAGCCGGCCAGTTCAAGAAATTAAATGAAAAATATCAAGGATCTCAATTTTTCGCGAAATACATCAGAAAATATTATTCAATCCATTGCCAAACCTTCAGATCACGTACTCTTTATCTAAACCTGAAGTAGTTTTAATGAAGGACGAATTTTAGAAGTGGCGAGCAACAATTTTTTGTTAGATATATCAAAATGATTGTAACGAGGAAATATTCCGAAACGTCCCATGATTTTTGAATTTATTCTTGGAGCATCACTAGAAAGCCATGGAACTAGAATAACCCTAAGTCTGTCAGTTTTTCGATCTTTGAAGGTGGGTTATAATAATTTTACTCGATATTCACTGTATGGGATGGGTATTTCATACTGAAATTCGGTTCGTAAATAGGTCTGGTAACGATAGAGATATCCAGAGAGTTACAGGTCAAACGAGTGTTTCTTTTTTGAGATACTAAATTTTCAAAGAAACCGTTTTATCTGAAACTTTCAGGATATTCTCATTGCTACCAGATCTTTTCACATGCTAAAATTCACTCATTCCGCTTTGTGAAAATGACCATTCTTTAGGCCGAAAGCCCCATCAAACGATCATAACTCCGCTTAAAGGACTGAGAAAACCGAACCAACTTAGGGCTATTCTAGTCCCATGGTTTTCTACTGACGCACCAAGTATGAGCTCGACGGCGATTGCACACTTCGGAAGGTTCACTAGTAGGCAGAATAATTCAGATTATATCTACATATATTGATCTCATCATTGTTGTCAACTTCAAAATTGATTTCTCAAGAATTCTCCAATTGATATTTTAATTGCTGACATGTCCGTTAATGCTAGAACAGCACTATAGAAAATCTATAACTGTAGAGAAACAAGCTATTAGATTGTCTACACTTGAAATTTCTTATGTTTAACCTTAACTTCAATCGCTTTTTGGTTCTTGTATAGAATTCTCAAAACTCAACTGAAAATAAGACAGCAAAACGGCGCGAACAACTTCATGCCAAGCTAAAAGAAACATACAACGCTACCTGCAAATATCAGGTGTGTCGAGGGGTTCACAAGAATATATTGCTGGTCGGTCGTACACGCACCGGTAAATCTACTCTTCAAAAGATGCTAGTCGACCCTACTGATGTACCAGAAGAAATGACACTTCGGTCAGAAACCAGAGATCCAAAGTTCGAATGTTTCTTTGTTGCTGTTAATGACATGATGCTTAACATTATTGATAGTCCAGGCCTTTTTGAACGAGGTTCGGAAGAAGACAAAATTCGAGATAACATGGCTATTATGCGTACTATTGAAGACTGTATCAATCGTGAAATTACCAAATTGCACGTGATCTGCTTCTGTATGTCAGTCAATGAGGGTATTCATCAGGAAGACGTTGACTCCATGAATCTTCTGGTCAAATATCTCGGTGAAGAAATTGCGAAAAATTCAATCCTGATTATAACACGGTGTGAGTCGAAAGACGAAGAGCAACGAGAAATAATACGAAAAGACTTATGTAATGATGTTCAATTCAAGAAGATTGAAAAATATTTCGGAAAAGGTATTTTCTTTTCGGGAGCGATCAATCGGGACGACTTCAAACGGGGTTATGAAACGGTAGAACGTCAATTTGACACAGTCATCGAATATCGTCAATTACTCATCGATTTATTTATGAATGAAAATGAACCAATTCTTATCAAAGAAACGTTGATCAACAAAATCCGACGAAAACGAAATGATGAAGACGAAAATGAAAAACTTCTTATTAAAGAGACGTTGATCGACACAATGTCGCAAAAACCAAATAACAAGTATGTATATCAATCTTTTCTTGAATGTGATCTATGTCTAGTTTCGAGAAAGCTGTTTCACAATGCTTGGAACTAGTTTAAGAGAAATGCAGTTTCTTTCAATGGATCATATTGAAATCTGTGCAATTATTTCTTGAGAAATGATTCATTAAAACAAAAAAAGAAGTCCAAAATAGTTATGAACGAAGCTGCTACATTCTTTTCTAAGATGTAACTGATTTGGTAAGAAAATGCTCGTTTTTACGAGATTACGGCGCAGAGACGTGAGTCGAACTTGAAATTCACATGATGGACACGTGGGGACTCTAGCCAGGAGAATTCTAGGTCATCAGAGCTCATACACATAGCTGTCCAGATTTTTGGGAGTATACAGAAGTTTTTAATGATATTTCGTTTAAAAAAAAGAAATATGACCTATTAGAATTGAACTCAGACAAGGCAATAGACAAGTCGATTGATCTAATTTTGTTGAATTTTTTCATCCGTTGATGTTAATTTCTTACTTTTAGACTGATTGATTCCCAGCACGAGAAAACAAGGATGAAGAAGTTCATTCTTTATATTCGGAATTTATGTTGGAACTTTTTCAAAATGTGGACAACAATTTGGCCATACGTCACTATTTTCACCTTAATAATAAGTGTTTTTATCGGATTCATAATAGGAGGTTCCAATCGAAACACTGCTACATGTACGCCGACCATTTGTGAACCGCCTAAAAAGTGCTGGATGTTCTAGACAATATTAAGCTAAAATTATCTGTAAGACCAGTTTTTATAATTTCATTAATAAATGCGTACATTAAGATGATATATGCTACAGTTTTTGAAAAAATGAACCTGTTGATTTAAATGCAAAGTATCAATTATATATATATAAATTTGTTTCGTATATGTAAGCCAGTTCACGTGAGTCACGAGTGAACTTGCTCGATCTTGATCATCAGACTTTGCTCGACTAGAGACATGGAGTAGAGAGAAGAGTTTTAAGACTTTTGACGCAACTCGTTTGAAAAAATATAGATCTTTTCTGGCGATATTTAAATTCTTTTGATGGCAAATCCTTAACAAAATCATGATTTTGCAGAGCACAATCTTCAAAAAAGTGGTTCCTATAGAAGTCGCGCTTATATGGTTTTAAAGTACATACTAAGTACTACAAAGTTATGCAAGAATTGTTTTGAAATCTTGAAGATTGGTCTGTAAAGCCGTATCGAAAAGTATTCTAAATTTGAGAAACTAATAGACAAGTTTTATCATATGAAATAAATTCTATCCAATGTATATCAGCCATGACCTTCTAATGACTTCAATAAAAAAAAAAAAGTTCGTCAAAAATGATAAAAAATATTATTTTGTAACATTCTCATATCTAGGCATGCACCAAACCCAGACCCAAACCGTTTAGGAGTTTGGGTTTGGTTCAATGAGTTTGAGTTTGGATTTGGGTTTGGTCAGGTATCCAAACTTCCAAACAGTTTGAGTTTGAACTAGAGACACAAATTTGATTGACTATTCATGTTTCAGTTTATGTTGGTTATATACATACATGAAACGTACAAGTCTTTTTCTGCTTGTTTTTATATATAGAAGAAATTATTTACATATATAGGTAGGAATTGAAAAAAAGCCCAAACCCAAACAGTTTGGGTTTGGTGCATGCCTACTCATATCTCTCTAGATCATTCAGCGAAAAAGTGTTTTTCAAAACCTCGTATCCTCTACTGAGAATTTTACAAAAAACAAAATTTTTGTCGTTCTCAGAGCACTTTTTTTTTATTGAAGTCAATAGAGGATCATGTGCTGATATACACTGGATAGAATTTACTGTATATGATGAAACTTTTCTGTTAGTTTCTCAATAAACTAGAGTATATTTTGTATGGTAAATGGATCACTTAGATTATCTTTCGATAAGGCACCAAAGACCATTCTATCATGATTTTGTAAAAGATCCGTCATAAAAAGAGTTTAAATATCGCGAAACACGATCAATAGTTTTTCAAAGGGTTCGCGTCAAAAGTCTAATAACATCGGTCGAGCCAATGATATATAATATGTTTATATAATGGATATGTTTTAATATTTAAATCGACAGGTTCATTTTTTCAACAAAATCCTAATTTCTGTGATTTATACAAAAACCATGGAATATATTATCTTCTACATGTACGTATATATTAATAAAATTGTCTACAAATGCTAAAAGTTTTTTTTAGATCTGAAAATATTTGTGGGTTTTGTGGTAGAGATCCTATGGGGATACCCAATAACTCTGTGTCCCCTAGCATTGTGAGCAATTAAAGAAGTACTAATTACTATCATTAACAAAAAATGTAAACTTGAGAATGTACGCGAGTATGCACTTTAAAAATAACTTGTTTCAATGGTTTACAATCTTGTAACTTGTATTTTTTTGTACACCCAGTGAACAATCTAAATAAAATAGTGTGCATATGGTAATGTATGTTTGATTGATTTCTTCCTAAATTTTCATTTCAGATGGCGCATCGATCAATATTATCAGGTGATATCCACTCGAAACGGCAGAATATAGAAGATAAAATTGATGATGAGTTTAACAAGTTGGAAGAAAAATACAGACAATCGACGTCTACAAATCAGCATATTGAACGAAATATTCTTTTGCTCGGTCCAACAAAAAGTGGTAAAACGACACTGATGAAAGTGCTTGCAGATCCACGTTATAGACCACCACATCAGAGACTAGGTTCTTCACAAAATCACACTGCAACTAAAGAAGAAATCAAATGTATTACATCTACACATCTCACATTAATCATTGTTGAGATACCGGGTGAAATGCTCGATAATGAACAGGACTTGGCCAAGATCAATGAGACATGTATTGAATTGGGTATTACTCAATTTCATTGTCTCTGTATTTGTGCTTCGTTTGCAAGCGGTATTTCTGACAAAGATCTATACTTGTTCGAACGACTCATTAAACATTTTGGTGAAGCAAGTATCAAGCCTTATCTAAGTTTAATTGTGACTCGATGTGAATCGAAGGACGAGGAGTCGCGAGCTAACATAGAAAAGGAGCTAAATGATGATTTTCATTTTTCTCGTCTAATGCAATGGTTCGATCGACGGATACACTTTACCGGAGCCCTAGATCCAATTTATTGGGATGAAGAAAATGAAGAAATTATTTTTGATCAATTTCAAACAATCTACAATGATCGACGAACTTTTTTAGAATTTATCGAAGATAAGTGTAACATTGAACCATTTACTATTCAATCACAAACACAACAGTCATCTCTTATGTCAAGCTCTGAAGAAACGCTAGGGTAATCATCTATATATATAATGTTCAGTGTATGTGTCTGTCTGTGCCAGGTCAACGGTTAAAGGTCAAATAAGGCTATAAGGCAGAAGGCCCCAAGGGCTATTATATAGGGATACCCTTAGGTCCTCAAGGGCTGTTCTGTGGCGTACGCATAGGCCCCGAAGAGAGTAAAACAATAATAGGGTAAGACGATACTGGAGAAAACAACAAGGGGGAGGGCATGGCAAGTTCCTATTTCCAGGAAATTCAAATTTCATCACATGAATAGTCAACCAAACACATAATGAAAGAGAAGCTTTTCCTATTCTAACTCTAAACTGCTTAAAGCCATTCAAGCAAAGCATAAGACTAATAATAACCAAACAAAATGATAAGTACCCACATATTCTCATTAGCTGCCATTCACTGATTGCTATCAGATAGATAGTGTATCCAGAACGTGTATATAGTCTAGTAGGCTTGGATTGGGTTGGGTGAGGAAATTCATTTTAACTTGTAACTGAGTATCTCTATTTATTTGGGTTGGCTTGGATGAGGAAATTCATTTTAACTTGTAAGTGAGTATCTATATTTATATGGATGGGGTTTGTTGCACCCCACCCAAGTAAATATAAATAGTCACTTGCAAGTTAAAACGAATTTCCTCACTCAACCCAGCCCAAATAAATATAGATACTCAGTTACAAGTTAAGATGAATTTCCTCACCCAACCCAAGTGGATAGATGTTGAAATAAGTTGTAAGCATTTGATATACAAATTAATTGACAGTAGTTATTTGGAAAACTGTTGATTTGAATTTCCAGAAAAAATTCCTGAGAGTCAATATATTTGAATTTCCTGGAAAGAGGAACTTACCATGGTGTGACAAGGGGCTAGGCAATAAGGGGATAAGGCTACAAGAGCTAGAAGGAATTTAAGACTATAAGGCCGAAGACTACACGGACTATAAAAATATGTGTGATATAAGAGTATGAGACCTTAGAACTATATATCTATATATATAACATCGAGTGTCTGTATGTCTGTTATCGGATGAAAAGCTAAATGCCTGAGGTCATACGTTAAAGGACAAAACAGCCGTGCAGTATGCATGGGACCTCGCTAGTTTCTAATAAGTAAGCACTTTTCTCACAGATATTCCAATTGCAAAACATTTTTTTTCTTGATTTGCATGATATTCTTCATGGGTTAAATACAGGATACCCAGATCGAGAACTTATAAATCGGAGTTTTAGCAATTAAAAATGTGAAAAATTCGGAAATTAGTTTCTACATATTCTCTCTTATCAAAAGGTATTAGACCTGTTTTAATTATTTTGACTTTTGTTGCTGACTATATTTTTCTTCACTGTATAATAATTGCAGTAGTATGACGAGAAGATATATTAATTGCTGAAGAGAGTTAATTTCAAAGTCATAATAAAACGCATAGAAGCCCAAATTTAGCAAAATAAAACAATACAGAAAAATCGAGAATTCTTCCTGTCATTTCGGCAGGAACTGACAAATCTGATTTCAATCAAATGAATACACAACTTTCTAATTTAGGAATTCACATACGATACCAAGAAGTGATACAAAAACCAGTGCAAGACGTTGGATCATTTCAGTCGCAATTCTCATACTACTTGTTGCATGCATGGCAGAAGTGTTCAAAATGCATCCTAACATGTTTTCCAACCTATTTTCATTCAAACTTTTCAAGAAAAAAAGCACCGACAGTACGGATCGTGAAAAGCTGCCAATACATGAGGTAAGATGACAGCAGCAGATTGTTTACAAATATTCCTAAATGCAAAACATTTGCGAAATAACTTTCGTCATAGAATTCCTAATTCTCTTCTCAACAGAAGAGTACTTCTCACTAAAAGAAAATCTGTCCCAACACTTAAAAGTGTAACTGAACACTCTTCCATCATCGAACTTCTATTAATATTATTAGGTGGTCTATACGATCATAAGTCAAGTATATTTAGAAAGAGGAATTTGTTTTTCACGATAAATACAACGCCGCGAGAGCCACAAAATGGTAAAAGAACATGCAGGAGAATATGTGATGTTCAAGCGACTGTGAAAAATTTGATCGTATAGACCATGAGGTGCTGTTCCCAGGAGAAATCGAATGATAAAATACTGGTCAATTATACTTTTAAGGGTACATGAAAATTGTCCTGTAAGTGGACAAGCTATAACTTGTTGAGGAAGGAAAATATTCTAACTAAACAAATATTTTAGTACAGAAAAAAAACGTGTAAGACGAATATTATTTTCAAGAAGTATTCCTATTGATAACGTGTGATCAGATTCAATGCATACTCTTAGCATTGCTTCTCATTTTCTTTACAATAAACTTTAGGGCAAACTACCAGTACCAAATATTGTGTGGCCACAACCTCGATATCTTAATGTTAGTATAGATCTTGTCTATATTGATCCACATAAGTTTATTATTGATTCGAGTTTGAAACGTTGTGATGTTATTGATAAAGCCATTGAAAACTACAAAGCCATATTTCATCCGTCGAAATTAAATACTCATTCGCTGCCGGATAATATTGACGAAAAACAAGTTCTTGCCATGCTCAGTATTGAAATTAAGTCGAACAAATGCGAAAAGTATCCAACATTTCATGTCGATGAATCGTGTATGTGCTTGTTATTCATCTGTCTATCGATTTATTCTATGTCGATTTTTATAGATAGCATAACAATTGAACAAGCCTATGGAAAAATTCAAGCAAATACCATTTGGGGTGCACTTCATGGTCTGACAACATTTTCTCAATTGCACTTCATTACAGATGACATTCAGGTAGAACTCTATTAAAGTAAAAAAAAAATAATCTTGAATTTCTATTGTTGAAAACTAGTTGGCTATCAATGCACCAATTACGATTGAAGATGAACCTCGTTTTCCTTATCGTGGTATTCTTCTAGACTCTGGTCGTAATTTTCTACGAACTTCAGTGATAAAAAAACATTTGGTATGTATTGTAGTAGTTTACACAGTGAATCCGATTCGATTAGAGAACAGAAATGAAGAATTTGTTAGAACCAAATATGATGTAATCTTCATCTTTGAAAATAAAAATGTATCTGCTCAAAAAATATATCAAGACTTTTGTAAACTACACTTTGAATTGTATGAATCATGGTTTTGGAAAACAATGAATAAAAGAAGTTCGAATAAATATGTGTAGAACTAGCTAGCCTCGATCACGCGAGGTTAATATTTTCCTTTGAATATCATTGAGTGATTAGAAAAGTGTCTTAGCTAAGCACATCATAAGATGCCATATTTCTAAAATTCTTTTATTGTTAGGATATGATGGCTTACAATAAATTTAATGTACTTCATTGGCGCATTGTTGGTGATCAATTCTGGCCATTGGTTTCGAAAAGATATTCGACATTGACACAAAAAGTTCTTTTTATTTTATTTTTTCTTCAAATTCATTTTCATTATCTTTGTAATATTTAGGGCACTGTTTCATCGGATCATGTTTACACACTTGAAAATGTTCAAGATATTATCGAATATGCTCGTCTTCGTGGTATTCGTATTATTCCTGAACTTAACGCTCCTGGTCATATCAATGCTCTTGGTCGAACTTTTCCAGGTAGGTACTGATTCTTTTTTCATTGTGTTTCGAATTTTTTTTTTTTGCTACAGATTTTTTAATTAACTGTCATAGTGAATCAACAGTTGGAATAATCGATCCAACAAACACAGAAATCTATTTATTTATCGAAAAAATTCTCAGAGAAATCAAGCAAATATTTGAATATGAATCCTATATCCATCTCGGCATGGATGAAGTTTATTCAGCATGTTGGTAAGAATTATGATTTCGTTTTTTGTTCTTGATTTCTATCATCTTCTTTGCATAGCATATCAAATCTCAATATTCAAGAATTTATGATTGAGAACAGAATGAGCAAGTGTACCGATTTGATGACATATTATTCGAGTGCAATTCTTGAAATTGTTCAAAATATCGGAGCTAAACCGATGGTTTGGCAAGATGTCTGGGATGATGGTGTTAACTTACCACTGGACGTAGTTATCGAAATTTGGAAAGATGCTTCATGGTCCACTTATTTATCAAAAGCAATCAATGAAGGATACAATGTTGTTCTTGCTGCTCCATTCAATTTGAGCATGTACGAACAATTTGATCTATTTTCTATCGAAAAATTTATTTAGCAACTTATTCTTTTCAGGATGTCCTATAGAAAATATGATGAATCAGACTCAGTCATGAATGCTGAATTTTCCAAGTGGTACAGTATTGATTTGTTTGGCAATTTTACCGGTACACTCTGTTTTGCTTGTTTCATAGTACTAACATTCGAGCTTTGTTTGTAGGTTACAAGACTGCTCGAAAACGACTGATTGGTGGTGAAGCAACACTCTGTGGAGAATTCGTCGATGACATTAATAGTTTATCACGCTTTTGGCCACGGGCATCAGTTGTGGCCGAAAAATTGTGGAGTTCATCGGAGATGAATAATATGGAAGATGTTATAGTTCGATTTCATGTTCAACGATCTCGACTGTTCAAATTATCGATGTATCAAATCAATCGATCGTTTTTTTCGTAGACGATAAATACTGATCGCACTGAATAACAATAGTTATTGTGGTTCATAAGAAGTCATGAAACAATTGATAATCAAATTCTCACTTATTGTTTTGTTTTGTTTGCATTCATTTTTACGATCGAAAAAAATAACCTTCGTAAATAGCAACTAAATTCATGTCAATGAGATTTCCTGTGTGTGTCATCTATTAATATATATATATATATATATGACTAGTTCGAATAAAGAAATATAATTACTTGTCTTTTGCTGAATATTATAAAGAAGCATTTGTCATCGTTGACCATCGTTCATCAAATGATCAATCCATTCGATTTGATTGTATATGTGATGAACAAAAGATATTTATCAAGCAATTTGGGCACTGGAGATAATATAATAGTAATCAACAGCACATACTTATATGGTCCTATAGGTCTGTGCTTTAATTTCTCAGAGAACAGTTAATATTCGCATATAGCTTTATTGCCTTCACAGCAATGATAGATACATTAGATGGCAGTTCAATACAATAGATCCATTTCAATAGTTGTTGACACCAGGGTTGCCAGATCTTCTGAAATGGCAGGAAAGCATCTGAATTTCAAAACTTTTTCTGATTTTATTCTGACCTTCTGATTTTTCTGATTTTTCAGGTTTTTTTCGATTTTTCTGGTTTTACTGTTTCGCTGCGATATTTGTCCAAATTCTATTTCTGAATGAAGACTTTTCTCAAATTGATTACGATCATAATCGTTAGCCATATGAAACATGTATGGTCTGATTATCGTAATTGCATGGACATAAAACTAGTTAGTGCTGAACTTAAGATAAGAATGAATGCTAATTATTCTTGTGAGCAGTTCTAAAAACATATTTCAACTGATAAACATTTATTGCAGCAAATTCGAAAAATGAAAAATATCAATAGTATGGAACTCATATTGAATGAGTCGTTTTTTTAAATATCTCTTGATGTATATAGTGTATTTCTCGGTTTTTTTTGCTCATTTTATGTGAAAAACGTTTTGAGTTTAGTAAAAAGTCTGATACTAGATGTCTTTTGCTAGTTTGTGTGATGTTCGGTGAACTACATATTCTTATTATTATTGTTTTTTTATGTTAAATATCTTCGAAAATAAATGAAAAATAGATGAACAAATTACAACTAAAGCATTTTGTAATAGTTTGGTAAAATAATAAGTGCCAATTTCAACATATTAGCCTTTCCGATTATTTTCTAATTTTCGAAAAAAAATTCTGAATATTTTCTGATTTTGATAGTCGGAATTTCTGATTTTTAAATTTTTGATCTGGCAACCCTGGTTGACACTCAATTCAATTTATGTGTACCAGATGATTAGTAGGATTTCGTTCATCTTTCTGAATCCTTGTGTTTTTTCGGATGTGTTTTATGGTGAATCAGATGAATGAGACTCGAATGAACCAAAATCTTCATAAGAAAGAGAAGTGTTATTCTTTTCTTGGGTGGGTGGGTGTGGGGTGTGGGTTGAATTAGAACAATCACACCCACACCCACCCACACCCACACCCAATAGAAATGAAGAATTAATTAAAGGTTGAATAGTTCGTGCGAACTTAGTTGAATTGCGCTAACAGTTCAGCTTAGTTCACAGAACTGATCATATCGCATCTGATAAAGTCTCTATAAGCTTCCAAGGGCTATCCTACGGAGTATCTTGAAGTCCTCAAAGGCTGTCCTAGAGGATACTTTTGAATCCTCAAGGCAAGGGAGGAATAGAGGAATCCTGGAGTCCTGGAATTCGATGGAATTCTATATAATTTTGAAGTCTTGAGTACTTAAATTTGTTGCTACTTGAAGAAGAATCTTTTATCATACGTCAATAGTTAATAGAACATCTAAAATAATATTTTTCATAGATACCTCATTATGAAGCTTATTTTTTCAATCATTTCTAGACAAATTTATTTCTTGTAGTGTGCATTTTAGCTTATGATTAGTGAACACACAACACAATGTTGCTCATAAGTATTAAAACCACAGAAGAAATCCTTAAATATGAAAAGTTTTAACAAAGTTTCAATAGTAAAAGGAAGATTGACGATCATGCTGCTCCTACTTGAACACAAGTTTAGATATATATATATATAAACAGTAAAAAGCACAATCTTGAATATAAGTTTTTAAATAAAAAGCTTATCATTTGCAAATAAACCTCGTACAGTGAATGTTGAGAAACAGAGTAGAGTTGAGTGTAAGTGTAAGCGTGGCTCTTGTCTGTAAACATGCACACACACACGCATAATCACAGTCACACCCATATTACAAGCTAAAAATTAATAATTTCAATAAATATTCATAGAAATGGTCAATCTCACGGTTATTAACTGAGAAATCTTAGCGTGTATCGACTGAGAGGTTATTATGAATTATCGAAGAAAGTAAAATTGAATAAAAAACGATTCAAACATTTCTGAACACTGTTGCGCTAATTAGGTCATCATTAGTAACAAAGCATGTTGACTTTTAGCCGTTAGTAAAGAAACTCATCGATGCTGGTATGTATTTAGAGCTCTGTTACAATAAATTGATATGAATTTATTGATAGATTAACGATGAAACAGGCTGAGTTGCTACGCTTGAGGCGAAGATGAGGCAACCCTACAAGTCAGAACTTAACCAAACACAGTTAGCTAGCGATTCAATATGTACATGTATAGATGGTCACAAATGAAGAAAAAAGGAAAACGAGACACCAACAGAAAAATCTGTTGTAATACGGATGATTGCTGTTTATAGACTTTTTGACGATCACTGGGAATTCTAGTTAGTTTTATAGGACTCTAGAAACATATGGAATTCTGAATTCCAAGGTTCGCTATTTACCTTGTGGTAAAATTATTTAAAAATATGAAAAAGAAACATCAACTAAAATTAATTCTGATCTAAACTGAGCTGATTGATTTCTCTTTATTGTTGATGATGTTTAACAAAAGTGAGTTCTCATTTTTTCGAATCATGATTTCTTTTTCGTATATTATTTTGTCGTCATTATCGTCAATATTGATTGTAAAAGAAGTCGTTGTTGATGAATCAATAATAAATTCGTGTACAGTTAAAACGGAAACAAAAAATTCATCTACTCTATATATGACCAATGTCTAGAAAAACACACTCAAAATTGACATTGTTTTGAATCCGATCACATATTGTCCAAAGTTGAACGAGTAAATAAACTTTCTTTCTTTGGCTGGTGATTTTAATTTATTACGAGAACGATAAAGGTCGATGTATTCATTAGCAACAATTTGGTAATCCGTTTTTTTGAAACAATAGAAAACTGATCTATCAAAAAGTTGTAGATATTGGGTACACTCCTTTAGTATAATAAATATCTCAAAATTTTCTTTTCACGGATTTTGAATTTTTTCTGGCTTTAGATGAATATAAGCTAAATCACTAAAGAAGATTTCAAAATGATCATGAAGTATCTATGATATAAATAATAATTTTAATCCATATGATAAGTAATGGTGTTTATGATATTCTTTCTACTACTCTGCATATTTGAAAAGCTTATTTTGCCTTGGATCTCGATCGCTAACATCTGTAATTGAGAATGGAGGGGAAGCCACAAAACTTCGACTAATAGCCAACACCTACTATTTTCTTCGAGGATAGAAGTAAGTTCCCAAAAAATAAGTTTAAAAAGATTAAGATGAAAGGCTTTTTCACAAGACTACTACCATCTATTATGAATTTGATATTATTCTTCGCAGGTGAACTTTCTTTTATGAAAAGAACTTCTAATATGTAGGCATACCGAGGGAGTCACCCCATCTCATTCATGAAAAACGACTATTTTGATCGTTATTATTAACAGTTTATTTCGAGAAAAAGATAGATAAGCAAGCCAGTGAAGCATAGTTAGATGAAGCTACATTGAATGAAGTTTTTTCTCTAAGAGTTTAGTTTAAGACAAGTTATAAGATATTAGCATGTGTTCAGAAATAGTCTTATAGTACCCGTGTAATGACCAATTACGACATCAAGTCGGTCATCATTGTTGAAATCATAGAGAACCAACGATGTCGGATTGTCATCTGTAAGAAAAGACCACCATTCAAAGAAAGAGCCTCGTCCATCACCAAGAAATATACTAAAATAATAAGAAAAGGTTGCGACAGCAACGACATCCAAGTAAGTATCTCCATTCATATCACCTATTGCAAGTGCATATGCACAACTTCCAATCCTATAGTTAACAGCTGCTCGAAAGGTACCATTGCCATTTCCGAGTAGCACACTCATCGTACTATTTGCACAGTTTGCTGTGACTAGATCCATGTGTTGATCACCATTCAGATCACCCACCGCCAGTCCCCATGGATTCATCATGGTGGCATACGATGTTCGCGTTCGGAAAGTACCATTGCCATAGCCTAGATGGACACTCACACTATTGCTACCATAGTTGGTGACAGCAAAATCTAAACTATTATCATGATTGAAGTCCGCTACAACGGCTACCATGGGATAGATGAATGTATTAAAAACTTTTTGCGAGGCGAACGTTCCGTTACCATAACCGAGCAGAATGCTGACAGTATTGGCATCATTGTTAACAACCAACAAGTCAA